CCAATGCATCAATATATGTACAAACTGATCCATAAGGACACAAGCAATGCATATATATAAAAGAGATACCAATAGTTGAGGACTAATTACAACAAGCAAAAGCCACTAAACCAAGTACTATAGGTATATAAATTATTTCCAGGAAGTAGCCAATTAAAGAATGCTGAATTCATGTAATCATTAGAATGCTGAATTCATGTAATCGTTATCTTTTAGTCTGTGATTACTAACTACTGACATGCCTCACATAGATTGGTTAAATTTAGTAAACTAATTCTAGTGCAATGCAAAAAGAGAGTTATCAAAGGGATTTACTTGAAGCTAAGAGATCTTGATAAGCTTGGAGTGGAACTCTGCAGACTACTAATCATCTTTGAGATTCTTTTCTCGGTGGATAATGAGAAAGGTTGAGGAACAGTGCACTTCCTCTTACAACTCTTTTCTGTACTGATTTCAGGTTTTGTTTCTTGTTCTCAGCAATCAACGATGTATCGACCTGGATATCTTTTTCATAACCTGGTAAATCTTCCTTCATATTGCTTGATTTATTATTTGCTTGTTTTCATAACCTGGTAAATCTTCCTTCATATTGCTTGATTTATTATTTGCTTGTTCCGTTCTGTTGACATGTGTTCAGTTAGTAAAACAATCAATAATTATTGCTTGATTTATTATTTGCTTGTTCCGTTCTGTTGACATGTGTTCAGTTAGTAAAACAATCAATAAAATTCCGTCTAGAATACGTGTTTTTCTACTAGTATACTGAGCAAAGAGTAGCTCAGGTTTTTGCATACAGAAGAGAAGATTAATTTTCCGTTTTCTCTATAGAGCGTCTGAGCTAGCTTTAGGACTTGACTACTGCAAAGAAAAATTAAGTGTAGGCTTTTAGTTCAACTTAAGTTATGTATCTGCAGACAGTCAAAATTATGACGAGCAAAATTTGGACCGTGCGTACAGGTTGCCAAACTTTCGTGTGAACTATGTGGAAGTATAACTTTTAGTTCAAGTTAAGAAATGCACCGATGAGGAAAATTCATCACTGAGGAGGAAAAAAAATAAATTTGGACTGACACTTTCGTCCTCAGTCAGCAGCATTTCCAGCAGAGAGAAAGTATGCTGAATTTTAGAGGGTATAAAAGGCTAAAATAGATTATTAATATGGGCTACCTTATAGTATCTTTAGCTTATCTCAACTGGAGAAGTACTTTGTTTTAATCCAGAGGAGACTTTGAAATTGACTTACCTTCTCATAATTAACTGGGAGGATTTATAAAAAAAAGACCTTTCTTAAAAAATAATTAGCAAAATAGATCCTTAAGTGAAAATATTAGAGGTCGATTTTGTAAAATATTAATTTTAAAATACACAGGACTAGTAGTCTCATGTAATTAGTTCTTATTAATTAAACTTTTATCATTTCAACACAAATTACATGAAAGTACCATTCCAAATTTACCATAACTAGCGACCACTAATTACACTGGACTTCTAGTCCTGTCTATTTTAAAATCGATATTTTGAAAAATCGACCTCTTTTGGCCAGCCGGCCAAAATTTAGTTGGTTTTGCTAAATATTTTAAAAAATATCGATTTTGCTACTATTTTTTAAAAGGGGTTTTTTTGAAAAACTCTCTAATCATCTGTCTTAAGAGCTTGATGTTACTCACTAATAATTTTAGTAAACGTCGTAATTAGTAGTATCAGAACTTCTTACTCAGTTTCAAGAAATCTAAGTCGAGACACTTATTATGATTTTTTACTAGGCTTTGTGCATGTGCAATACACGTGGTTATATATCATGATTAAGTATTATAAGTTCATTTCTTTACTAAAAAATTTCTTCGGTTCCCCTTTGGTAGTTTCTGCTCACTTATGTCTTCAAACTTTAGCACTGTGATTATTTATTATCTTTGATGTTGTCTGAATAGGCTACACCTAATTTAAATTTTCATATTGATAATTAAATTGGCACGAAACAAATGTAATCTGAAACCAATTTGAATTTTTATCTTATTTAGATTGACCTAAAACCAAGCTTGACCTGAGAAAGTGTAGTATTGCAAAGTAAAAAATATCTAAAAAATAGTTTTTTAAGCCAAGATGACTGATTAAAAGTCTGCTAAAATGGCAATAAAGAAAATATGGGGTTTGTTCCAAATCATTAATAGACTTCATAAAATGACTTTTTTTTTGCTTATGCTATTATAGATAAGTATCATGTGTATACCTTTGGTACATTATAGTGATTTCCCTCCTCTTATGGCTTGTTATATATCGCAACATAGTTGATCAATGATTTCACTTTAATTAGTTTCTATTGCAAAAATTATTTATACGTAATTTTATAATAAATTTATGATTCTTTTAGTATTTGAAGAATAAATCATGAAAATTTATAAATAGTTACTAATTTTAAATTTATGAATACTTGCTAATTTATATTGTATCTTCTATGGAGAATGATGCTTTAATTGGGACAAAGTTATTCAACATAATCTTTAAGGGGAACTCAATCGGTGCTCCTTTGATAGATATACTTTTTATTAATGTCAATTCAAGTGATCCATATGTGTTTTTAAAATTTGGGTTTATTTCCCTCATTATTCCATTTGAAATGAAAAAAGCTTGATTCTTTTGAAGGATATCCCTAAACTTTTCGATAGTTTCTTCATAGCTTCTCCATACATAACTCATTGTATTTTTTTACCCTATAAATATTACTAGCATTAGAGATTAATGTTGTAAATTATAATTAATTAATGCTAAGCTATTATATTATAGTCTTTTTATCAGTTTTATATGATTTAGTATTCTATCAATTAATGCTACTTATGCATTTTTGCTGCTCTAACTTATTAGTAAAATTATATGCAGTTTATTTAATTTATACAGTGATGCTGATTTTTAAATCATATGATTTAGTATTCTATATGATTTATCAGTTTTATATGATTTAGTATTCTATCAATTAATGCTACTTATGCATTTTTGCTGCTCTAACTTATTAGTAAAATTATATGCAGTTTATTTAATTTATACAGTGATGCTGATTTTTAAATCATATATTTTTAAATTTTTTATTCCTTAATCAAATATTTTTAATATATTGTTATTGTTATTTTTTTTACTAGCATCAACTTAGACTACTTTTAGATACTAAAAATGGATAGTAAACCACACATCTTAATAAAATAATATCAAATAATTACTCTTTTCTTTGCCAAACTTTAAAATTTCAGCCTTGTTTGTGATTTTGAACTTTTGATGGTGTGTTTTGTTGCTTTTGAAACTTTAATAGTGTTTTTTAAAATTTTAAATTTTAGGTTGGATGCTTATAATTTTTATATTTCATATGTTGGTGGTAAATCTTCAAATATCAGGATATTTCTTTCAATTCTAATATTTTAAGGTGTTTTTAGCGATTATTGAAACTTAGGTTTGTTTTTTGCAAAATTAAAATTTCAGTTA